TCTGCTCAGCACTGTGCTCAATACTTTACATGTGTTACATGTATTATCTCCACTGCCATACAGTAGGTCCTAGTTGTTTATTTTATATGTAGTAGTGTGTATCTGTTAATCCCAAACTCCTAATTTATCCCCCCTGCCCTTTTCCCCTTTGTTAACCATAAGTTTGTTTTCTATGTCTGTGTAGTCTATTTCTGTTTTGTAAATAAATTCATTTGCATCTATTTTTTAGATTCCACACATGAGTGATAGCATATGATATTTGCCCCTCTCTGTCTGACTTACTTCACTTAGTATGATAATCTCTAGGTCCATTTGTGTTGCTGCAAATGGCATTTTTTCATTCTTTTAAAAAATTTTTTATTTTATATTGGAGTACAGTTGATTAACAATGTGGTAGTTTCAGGTGTACAGCAAAGTGATTCAGTTATACATATACATGTATCTGTTCTTTTTCAAATTTGTTTCCCATTTAGGTTATTACAGAGTATTGAGCACCATTCCCTGTGCTATGCAGTAGGTCCTTGTTGGTTATCTGTTTTTAAATATAGCAGTGTGTACATGTCAATCCCAAACTCCCAGTCTATCCCTCCCCACACACACATCCCCCATCGTAACTATAAGTTCGTTCTCTAAGTCAGTGAGTCTGTTTCTGTTTTGTAAATAAGTTCATTTGCATCATTTTTTTTAGATTCCACATATAAGTGATATCATATATTTGTATTTCTTTGTCTGACTTACTTCACTTAGCATGATAATCTCCAGGTACATCCATGTTGCTGCAAATGGCAGTATTTCATTCTTTTTATGGCTGAGTAATATTCCAGTGTGTGTGTGTGTGTGTGTGTGTGTGTGTGTGTGTGTGTGTGTGTATGTATACGCCACATATTTTATCTATTCATCTGTCGATGGACACGTAGGTTTCTTCTGTCTTGGCTATTGTAAATAGTGCTGCTATGAACATTGGGGTGCATGTATCTTTAGAGTTTTCATCTTTGCCAGATATATGCCCAGGAGTGGGATTGCTAGGTCATATGGTAACTGTTTGTAGGAGCCTCCGTACTGTTCTCCGTAGTGGCTGCTCCAATTTACATTCCTACCAACAGTGTAGGAGTGTTCCTAAAAGTACTTTAATCTCATTTTACAAATGAGGAAATTTACCAAGATTAAGTAACATATCAAGGTCACAATAAATGCACCAACCTCAAATAGTTTATAATGTAGTAGAGGAGACAAGATACATAAAGAAGTTACTATTAATTAAGAAAAGCTGTAGCTATTACAAATTGAAATGTAGCTTTATGCCATGCAGTTAATATCTGCCATGCATTGAAGCAAGGGGTGTCTTTACTTCTAGAAGATTGAGTGATTAAATAAAATATGTTAATTGCTTAGCATAGTACACAATGCATGATGGGTATTATTGTGCTACTACTCCTATTGCTAATTATGGGTAAGGTTTGAACAGGCGCAGAGGGAGAGTGTGGGAGCACCTTCCATGTAGAGTCTGGCAGAGATGTAGAGTTGTGGACAGAAAGGAGCTATGGCAAGAATATAGTTTGTGTAGCAAAGTGGTAGGAGACATGACTGAACAGATAGATTGTAGCTCTATCTTAGAAGGCTTCAAATGTCAGGCTGACGTGTAACTTAGTCCTCTACTCTCTAAATGGTTAGATCTGCTCTACAGCATCTCCATCTTTTGTGAAGTGCCTTCTGGAAACAAACCTCTCATGGAAAGTGTTGTTTCCTTTGGATGATTTTTCATATTAGGAAATACTTCCTTTTATTGAACATAGTCTATCTCACCATAGATTCGACTCAGCATTCAGCAAACAGAGCATAGCCATATAGAGTGAATCCACATGTCAGATATTTGAGCATTAGTCTTACGCTTCTTCTGAGTTTCCTTCATACCATGGGCCAGTTAACCAGTTCCCTCAACCTAACTTCACTAGGCTTGGCATTGATTTCCTGTCATCCTGGTCACTTTCTTCTAAGTAAGCTGGCTACTCTCCTGTAATTAAATTTTAACTATTTCAGGTTATTACACATTAAATGATGATTTGGGTTTTATTATTATTTTCAGATTCTGTGTTTCATCTGTAAATTCTAGTATTGCTTGGTCATAAATTCTCTTTTCAGAATTGTAGCTGTATGGATTATTAGTTGTTTTTATTTTTCAAATCCTCATGAGTAATTAACCCTAGGATTAAAATGGTCTATACTTCTCTATTACTTTCAAAAATAATTTGTTTGTAATGTGTAAAAATATTGAAAATAAGTCATTATTATTTGAATACATTAATTATCTTTGTCATATGTTTAAGCTCATATTCTGTGTCCTAGAGTATGGTTAAGTACTTTGTACATAAATATCTTAATTAAGTCCCTGGAATTCTTATGAGCAAAGCATTATCCCCATTTAAAGTTTAGGTAACTGAGTCCTCGAGAAGTAAAATAATCTGTCCCTCACAAATCTTTTATAAGGATGGACCTATAACATTTAAACCCTGTTTCTATTAATATTATTTAGTGTGTCATCTTTACCGATAATTGTGTTCAGCACTACCATTAAGTAAGCCGTCTTTCACTTTTTATTTATGATAAAAATTATTAAAGTGCTTATTTTTTTCATAGTATAGTATGTTTTGACATCAAGCAGATGTGTTTTTCATTAAACTGATTGGAAATGTTGGGAGAAGGTGATGGCTCTACTACACTTGAACTTGAGGGGACAGTAATAGGGAACAGTATTTCAAGAAAGTTAAAATAGCTCTAATATAATTTTTCAAAACTATTTAGTGTCAGAAGTGCCCAGAACCCACCCCAAGGTGTGATGACTGACTAGAGGACTTGACAGAACTCAGTCCATCGTAGTGCTCCTGACTGAGAGTTATTACACTGAAAGAATACAAAGCAGAATCAGCAAGGAGAAAGGTGCATAGGACCAAGTCCAGAAGAAAGGAGGCTCAAGTTTCCAAAAGTCCTTTCCCAGTGAGGTCATACAGGATGTGTGGATTCCTAGAGCAGTGAGTTATGAGAAGACATGCAAAGTGTTCTCTACCAGAGAAGCTCTTTAGAAACTAAGTACCTAAGACATATTTAATTGGGGCTTGTCACGTAGGCACGCTGTGCCTTGTTCATACCCAAACTCCAGACTCTCAGAAGGAAAGCAGGGGTTTATCATAAACCACACTGTTGATATAGTTTAGACCCAATGAGCCACTGTTTATCTTTTTTTTTTTTTTTGTGGTTCGTGGGCCTCTCACTGTCGTGACCTCTCCCGTTGCGGAGCACAGGCTTCAGACTCACAGGCTCAGTGGCCACCGCTCACGGGCCCAGCCACTCTGCGGCATGTGGGATCTTCCCGGACCGGGGCCCGAACCCGTGTCCCCTGCATCGGCAGGCGGACTCTCAACCACTGCGCCACCAGGGAAGCCCGCCACTGTTTATCTTTTGGAGAAACCTTTATATAACCATAGGGAACTGTTTACCAGCCAAGTTGCCAAAAGCCAGTCAAAGGGCAACCTTGCAGTGGGCCTTCCTAAGGATAGGCAGCCTCAGGCCTGCTCTGTTAGGTGATACCCAGGGTTCAAGAGGCATTGGGAAAATTAGGTAATCTTGATCATTTGGTAGTATAGTGGGCACGATTGCATTTGAAATTGCATTGAAATTTCAACCTAACAGTATAATTAAGGCTATTTATTTTACTAAAGTCATTTATATAATATCCTATCTTTATTGATCTATTCCTCTAGCTGTTGATTTCAGGTATTGAAGGAATTGAGTTTCTGTGCATGGAATTTTTAACAAGCGGTAGCTAAATTTCTATTGAAAAGGTAGTAGGGTGTATGTATTATTGTTGTTGTCATTGTTGTTACTATTATATTATTATTATAGTATATTATTATACTTCACTTGAGAGAAACTTATAGTATTGCATCATTCCAAAGAGCATATTTTATAATTTGAACTACCTAAAAAAATTTTTTTTGAAATGATGATATATAAATATAAATAACAAATGACTGGGATGATAAAAGCTGTTTGATCTTCTAAATCAAACTGGAACCACCTGTTCCACCTGTTAAGCAAATAGTTCTGATTGAAAGAAGACTGGCAGACTTGTTTCTTGTTTTCCTGTAATCCTGAACACAGAACACTGGGTGTTGCGTTAGGCGGCGGATGTTGTCTTTTGTTTACCACTGTGTAACACAATGTCTGGAATATAGTAGGTGCTTAAGTATTTATTGCATGAATGAGTGACTGAGTGTGTGAGTGAAAAGAGAGGCTGGTAAGATGTCGGGGAAGCTTGGTTCATAAAATACTAGAAGAATGTGGAGAAGAGGAAAACAGCATCTGTGCCACTTCATAGAAATTATCAGGGAGTCTCCAATAATTAATTCTTTTAATCTAGGTGACCCTTCTGAAACGTTGAGATAGAGGAAATTAGCTTCTTATTTAAAAGGATTGGCTGTATACGTTTTTCAGTGCCTCATTTCTCATGGTAGAACTTTTTAAAGGGAATTTCCAAAGCATTGAAAGAACTGCAGTCTGACTCCTTTCCTTCCCTTTTTCTTTTTTTCTGTTTTAAATAAAGGCAGCCCCTCAGCCATGGTATTAGAGTTTTTCTTTTTAAAATATCAGTTGGGTTTTTTTAACATCTTTTTTGGAGTATAATTGCTTTACAACGGTGTGTTAGTTTCTGCTTTATAACAAAATGAATCAGTTATACATATACATATATCCCCATGTCCCCTCCCTCTTGCGTCTCCCTCCCTCCCACCCTCTCTATCCCGCCCCTCTAGGTGGTCACAAAGCACCTAGCTGATCTCCCTGTGCTATGCGCCTGCTTCCCGCTAGCTATCTATTTTACGTTTGGTAGTGTATATATGTATTTTTGTTTTCCTTAGAGATTTAATAAATTGAGGAAAGAACGAATCATTGCTAAGTTAGATCGCTAGCACATCACCAGAAATGTTTCCTTCTTTTCTCTCCAGCAGCGCCCAGGAGGCCTCTCAGCCACTGGCCGCCGCAGCAGCTGCAGCTGGGAGCACACCTGAGGGGCCGGGAAGCCCAGGCTCGGCCAGACCAGGGGTGGCCGGACTTACCACTGCTGCCGCCTTCAAGCCTCTAGGGTCCACTGGCGGCATCAAGTCACCAAGCTGGCAACGGCCCAACCAAGCAGGTACTACACCCAAGAAATCTCTTGCTTTTTGCATTTAAGTATAATTATGAAAATGTGTTCCGGGATATGTGATAGAATTCACTGGTGAAACCCATTCTCGACGATCTAAGATTTACAAAGGACTGGGAAAAGTAGGTACAGCTATTTTCCTCTCTGAAGTGTCTCATAAACATTCTCTGTGTGTGTTGCCACTTGCTATTTATAATTATAGAATTGAGAGCGTTGCCTGGTATCCTAGATTACCCAGGAGGCATGGGTTCAATTGTAAATTTGGGGTCTTATTAACAAACTATGTTGTTGGAAGGTTAGCCTTGGAAATACAACATTTTAGTTTTGATCATGTATACAAAATAACAACAGAAGCACTTGCTGCCGTCAAACAATTATTGAAGAAAGGTCTTTTACTTCCTGTCCTTGGGCTCCATCTGGAAACCTGAGTTTTCATTCACTTCTACAGATAAATAGCTTTAAATAAAGTCACTTAACCGTGACCCTCAGTTTTTCTGATCTGCAAAATGGAAGGAGACTAAATGCTTCTCCCAGCATGAATGAAGGTTATGGTCATAGGACAAAAGTACCTCTCTTAAGAGGAAGATGGGACTCAAATGTTGCTGATGGCCACCCTCAGTCTTACCTCTTTACACTCTCCCTGAATGATCTCTCATCCAGGTTCCTTTTACTACCCAGCCACTGATAATTTACAGTCCTCTCTCTCCTGATCTCCGTACCCTCAAACTTGTTGACCTCCTTACTGTTTCCAGATGGCACCTCAAATGCAGTGTGTCTGAAAATATCGTACCTGTCTCTGGAGATGTCACAGTCACCCAGGCGCCAAAGCTAGAATGGAAGCTTGAGAGTCCCGCCTCCACCCCCATGTTCCCACAGTAACTAATACCTAATGATTCCACATCTTAGCATTTCTCAAATCTCTTTTCTCCTCTTTGTGGTCACAGCCATTGGCTTGGTTCGGGCCCTGGTCTTTACAAACAGCTCCTAACTAATTTCTCCATCTCCTTCTCACCCTGTCAGTCTGTCCTCCTTACTGCAAGTGATCTAAAGCTCTCGCTTGCCCCTGTCACTCTCCTGCTTCAGGTGCTGGACTGTTGCCCCTCCTTCAGTAATCATGAAGACCTTTGCCACTCTGACCCCTGCTAACTTTTCAAGCTCATTTCCTGCTGCTCCCAATTTATAATCTGTGCTGTGGTTTTAGTAGAGTAGCTTCAGTTACTGAGACATGCCATGCTACCCTGCTTTTGAAAGTTCTGGTTCCTCTGCAAAGAAGGAACATTTTTAACCTAATCCCCTGTGTATTTCTAGTCTTCCCTCATCAGTTTTGGGATGAGTATTGGTTGAATACACAAGGGGCTGCTTGAAAAATATGATAGCTTTAAAAATAGGTCATTTATTATTTAAAAAAGTTTTTTTTATTTTGCTTATTTTTGGCTGCATTGGGTCTTTGTTGCTGCGCCCAGGCAGCGAGTGGGGCTACTCTTCGTTGCAGTGTGCGGGCTTCTCATTGCAGTGGCTTCTCTTGTTGCAGAGCACGGGCTCTAGGCGCGCGGGCTTCAGTAGTTGCAGCACGCGGGCTCAGTAGTTGTGGCTCACGGGCTTAGTTGCTCCGCGGCACGTGGGATCTTCCGGGACCAGGGATCGAACCCGTGTCCCCTGCATTGGCAGGTGGATTCTTAACCACTGTGCTACCGGGGAAGCCCGGTCATTTATTATTTAAGAACTTTTGTTTTTACAGTTCGCAAGAGTGGAAAAAGTGAACTTGTAATTAATTCGGAATCCATCTTTGCATTTTCTATAGCATTTAAATACATTAACACTAACTTCACTTATTGTAAATTATCTTTAAGAAATCATGAATTTTTTATATAGTTAAAAATACTTCGTAGTGTCATTTTGTATATTCTTGAATTACCATTACTAATTTTGCAAAGAAGCTCAAAGCTTTGTGCTGTGGGAGAAAGAGGAAAGGCTACTGCATATGATCTAGACTATTTTAAAGAAAAGGCTATTTTATTACTTTTGAAAACTTGAACTATTTAGACTAATATCATTAGCCTCTGAACTTTCTGGACTATTAATTGACTTAACAAGACCTGTCCTCTTGGAAAAAATGCTGACACCTTAGCTCCACACATTTTTAATTATTTCCATTTACTTAAAGCTTATCTATGTCGATGGAGAGTTGCTGTAATTATTTCCTATGTGATTAGAATACTGGAAGCAACTTTCATAAAAACAATTTTTGGTATGGTAATTGGAAGGGAACAGGAGAATGTTTCCTAAAAGAGCAAGGAAAAGGCTAAATTTCAGAGGTAGAAACTGAAGGGAGGCTACAAAGTATTATGTACTGTGAAGGACAGAAAGTATATGTAGTGCCTTTGGAAATTCAGAAACTATGGACAGAAGACCACTCTGACTACAGTAAAAAAAAATTCCAGTTGACGTGGAACTCCTGGAGGATACACTACAGCAAAATTACCACAAGAGGGCGATCGAATCCTTCTTTCTCTCAGTCTAATTTAATCAAAGCAGGTAAATAACTATAATCATGATTCACATGGTTAGCCTTTAAAATATTAATCTTTTTATAGAAGGCATAGCTGAATCTAATTTGAGCAAAACTAGACCAGGATAGAAAATTATATATTATATAACATAAAGCATTAGTTATTATTGAAAGAAAATGTTTTGCCATTGTGAAGTCTTAGTTGAATTACATCATGATGCTTAGCTCAAATCAGAAAACATTTGCAGAACTCCTGCTGTTTATCTTGCTCTGGGTGCCACAAACTGGCACTTATGTTATGTAAAAGTTACTTATTTTATGCTAATTTGTAAAAATTGTAAAATAAATACAGAATTCCCAGTCACTCAAGTTCTTTAATTCTACTCTACCTAACAGTATACCATATTTCAAAAAAACCCAAAACAAAACAACACCCCAGAATCTACTCTTAGTCTTCAATAAATAGTTTCAAGGGCTTCCTAATGCAAATGGGAAAAGTTCTTTTGATTCAGAAGGTGGTAACTGTCACATGATGGGTTCTTATGTTCCTCACAACTAACCCGTGAAAAGGACAGTTCCGACCAAAGGGTGCAAAAGCTACAAAGGCAAGTCACTGCACTAGTGTGGACTCAGATGAAGTGCTAAGCAGGTGGCAGTGCTTCTCTCACATTGAGAACTTCAGGTGTCTTTCTCTTGATGATTCACAGCTGTGCTCTAGTGTGGGTAAAGTAGGAGCAAAAAAAAGATTTTTTATTCCTCCCACCCTCCTACCATCACCCAAGAGTGCCTATCACTAATGATGTCATTTTATTTTATTTATTTATTTTTAAGGCATTTCTTTCTTTTTTAAAATTTATTTATTTTAAGCTGTGTTGTGTCTTCGTTGCTGTGTGCGGGCTTTTTCTAGTTGCGGCGAGCGGGGGCTTCACTTGTTGCGGAGAGTAGTTGCAGTACATGGGCTCAGCAGTTGTGGTGCAAGGCTTAGTTGCTCCGCAGCATGTGGGATCTTCCCAGATCCAGGGGTCGAACCCGTGTCCCCTGCATTGGCAGGCAGATTCTCAACCACTGCGCCACCAGAGAAGCCTCACTAATAATGTCATTTTAAAGTAATTCCTACAGTTGAATGGGAAGGATGGGATTAGAATCACTAAAATGCAGTCTGTGGCCTGCTTAGTTGATTATGAAAGTTTAATGGATCATAGCCAGCATTTTCATTAAAAAATGAAATTGAATAGAAAATATCAGAATATTCTACTATATGAAGTATCTTAACATATTAAGGGTAGGTATCATGTTATGAAAATGTGGCTTTAGGTTATATATATGTATGTAAGTGTATATCTGTACACACGTATTAACATATTTTGGATCAGCAGGTAAAATGAACAGCAGGTAAAGTGTATTTCTTATTGTTTTTTATAGTTAAGAAAAAGTTTGAAAGTCACTTACTTAAGTAAGTATTTTAGTCATACTTTTGTCTATTTGGGATGACTAATTTCGTTTTGAAATGATAACCGAAAAAAAAAAAAAAGACTGCATTGAAGGGGCTAATTGAAATTTTAAGATCTACTAGAGTATTCTGAACCTGTCGGGGTTTCTATTACCTCCATTGAAATTCTGACTTTAAATCTTAGATCATTTCACTTGTGGTGTAGTATAACCTGTGTATCCAGAAGTCTTTCAAGAAGACAGTAACGTAACACCAGTTGGTAAATAGGAACTAGGTGTATGTGTAACAGCGTTATGGTTTAGACTGGATCCTCTCCTTTTCCTCGGGCATATGGTTTTAACATACACCACCACACATGCACAAGCTTGCCGGTGACTGACAAAGAGAAATATTTTAAGATGCAAAGTGTTAAAAAGTTCATAGTCTGCATGAAAGTATCAAGGTACAAAAGAAGTGAGAATCCATGCTTGAGTTTTTAAGTAAGCTAGTAATACTACTGCCTACTTGCGCTGTGTTTTGGTAATACTTCCATAATTCAGATGCAGTAGTCCCTTTAGAAATGTTTACTTGTTTACTTAATCTAGAAAAATACATAAAAGGTGAGATTCTTCTTGATATTTTTCAGAATTGAGGATTTGTACTTTTATACTAATATTTTAATTCACTATATTTGTATGTCTAATAGGTTTCTTAATGCTCAAAACCTTCATATTATATACAATAAGTAGTTAGATAGATATTCTTAAAAATTCATAAATTTAATCATATAAGTTTAAAAATATATTCCTGTGTTTATGTAGGTGCCCTAATTTGCTATGTAATATTTTCTCTAGATTCTGTTTAGGTTATAGATACCAGCTTAGGTAAATTTAATTCATTTGACACAAGTATATATATAAAATATTACTATCTTACCAAATATATATAGTCAGATGTTTTTTCACAAATCCAGTCTTAAAGTTATGAAGGACTTGATGCACATCAGTTTTCTAACTTTAGTTTAATTATATAAACTGAGAATGACCAATTCAT